CCCCCCCCTCCCCTCTTCCTCCTCTGCCCCCTCCCTTTTTGAAACTTGTGTGATTAATTGATTAATTAATGGTGATGAATGTTGTTCAGAGGGAAGCGTAGGGTCCTTGGTTGATGACTCAGGTATCTTCTATAAGCCAATTCTTGATGGCGCGAAGAAGGAAAGAGGCGATTGCGAAGTTGCGTTCTACCAACAGTTGCAAACGAAAACAGGCACAGATATTCCTCCCGAAATCCGGCGGTACTTCCCAGCGTGCTATGGAATTTTCAGCATTCAGAATGTGGACGGCAGCGATGCATGCAGTATCCTTTTTTTTTTTTTTTTTAATGACCCATGAAATATATGTACCCCACGCCCAGATGCATTTGCTGCCGTTGATAATCGCACACTGCCGTGGTTGTCCTACCATCTTCTTCTTCTTCTTCTTCTTCTTCTTCTTCTTCTTCTTCTTCTTTTCTTCTTTTCTTCTTTTTTAATAAAACAGGTCCTTATGGTCCTGGCTGCTTTCCATTCTGGGTAGCGTCAATCCGGTTCCTATTCCCCCGGCAAGTCAAAATAGCAGAATTACATCATTGCACGCCCACACACCCCCCCTTCCGTCTCGCCGAAGGGTCCCTGATCAGCATTAATTGCTCCCCTGGAGGAGGATTGGCTGTCAGCTTGCACTGTCCACTTGTTCCTCTCAGGATCCCACCCAGGCCTGTCAGATAGACCTATGCCAAACAAGACGAGTGGGAGGATCCGCTTCCAGATATGTTTCTGAGTCTTCCTCCTCTCCCGCTCGTCCGACTGTCTCTGCTGTTGTTCACCGTAATTTTCCCTCTTCCTGGGGTTCTCGATTTGACATAAACTCATGGCTGGGCCTGTTGCCGCCCCTTCCATCGCAGCCTGCCGGTTATCTGTTAGGGTGGTGATCTTGCCCCTTAGAACCCACCCAGTGTCTCAGGAATGTGCGTCTCTTTCTTGCTTGTCCTTCTGGTCTGTGTTTCATAGAAACCACTATCTTCCCCCATCTGCTCCGGATTTCAGTCTCCACAATACTCAGCAATAGAGACCACGTTTCGTCCCGTGCCACCTCTGCTCCCACAATTCTCTGTGTGCATCGGTGTTTCCATATGACCCTGAGTGCCACTTTCCTGAGCAGATTGAACCAGACTTCCCTGCTGCCCTTGATGTTGTCCTACCATCCTTATAAGTTTAGGGTTTAGACTCTAGCGAATAGTGCCCACTGGAACTGGAACAGGTTTACGGAGTAGTGGTAGAGAATAGTGCCCACTGGAACTGGAACAGGTTTAGGGAATAGTCCTACTGGTAGAGAATAGTGCCCACTGGAACTGGAACAGGTTTAGGGAATAGNAGGATCAACACAAAACCGCATTTCAGACCAGGTACGGTCTGTACGAGTTTGTGGTGATGCCTTTTCGCCTGTGCAATGCTCCTGGCACCTTTCAGCACGCTATGAATCGGATATTCCATGACTACTTGGATAAGTTTGTCATTGTGTACCTTGATGATATACTTATCTTTAGTAAGACTGTCGAGGAGCATGCAGCACATTTAGACAAAGTCCTCAGTCTCTTGCGACAACACAAGTTCAAGATCAACAGTGAAAAGTGTGAATTTGGCCGCACCCGTGTCTTGTACTTGGGTCATGAGATCTCCGCGGAAGGGTTGAAGCCTGATGACGCGAAGGTGGCCAGCATTCGCGATTGGCCACGACCTCAGTCCGTGACTGAGATGAGATCTTTCTTAGGAATGACAGGCTACTACCGGACTTTTGTAAGAAACTATAGCATAGTGGCCGCTCCTTTGACTGATCTGACCCGCCTTGACACCCCGTGGGAGTGGACAAATGAGTGCGAGGCTGCTTTCAGACATCTGAAGCATGCATTGACGCACTATGAAGTCTTGAAGCTACCCGATCTTGATAAGCCATTTATAGTAACCACGGATGCTAGCCAATGTGGCATTGGCGCCGTGCTTGCGCAGCAGGAGGGGCCAAAGTTGAGGCCAGTCGAGTACATGTCAAAGAAGATGCCGTCTCAGAAGTTGGCAAAGTCCACCTATGAGAAGGAACTCTACGCCGTGTACAAGGCTCTAACCCATTGGAGGCACTATCTCCTCGGGAGGTTCTTCATCCTTAGGACTGATCATCAGACCTTGAGATGGATGAGAACGAAGCCAGTACTTTCCGACGCCCTGAAGCGTTGGATCGAGGTCATTGAGCAGGATGACTTCGACCCCCAGTATTTAAAAGGGGAGTACAACAAGGTGGCTGATGCCTTGTCGCGTAGACCTGATTTCTCAGGTGCGCTGATTACTGAGTTCGAGTTAAACGACGACGTGTCTCGATCATTGGTGGAGGCCTATTGAGAAGATCAGTTTATGTCAGAGATCGTCCGCAGGCTCGAGGCGAAGGACAAACAGACTTCAGTTGAGTTTGAGATGGTCAATGGCATGCTGTTTCTCGAGAAGGAGGGGCATAAACGATTGTGTGTCCCTAGTAGCGAGTCTTTGCGTAGTTTATTTTTAGGAGAGTGTCATGATGCCACCGACCATTTTGGGTTCAAAAAGACCGCAACCAATTTGGCCCACGATGATGAAAGATGCCAAGTTGTATGTGGAGACTTGTCAAGTTTGCCAACGAGACAAGCCCCGTACTCAGGCTCCTCTTGGGCTGATCAAGCCCCTTCTGATTCCGGAGAGGTCGGGTGAGAGCCTGTCCATGGACTTCATGGATACGCTAGTCACCAGCAAGAGTGGGATGAGACAGATCTTTGTCATCGTGGATAGGTTTAGTAAGTTTGCTAGGTTAGTAGCAATGCCTGAGACAGCAAAGACTAAGTACGTGATTAAGATGTTCAAAGAAAACTGGGTGAGAGATCTCGGATTGCCCAAGTCTATTGTGAGCGACCGAGATGTCAGGTTTACAAGCGAGTTATGGAAGGCCGCTGCAGCCGAACAGGGAACTCAACTGCAGATGACTTCTGGGAATCATCCCGAAGCCAACGGCCAGGCCGAACAGATGAACCGTGTTGTGCAACACCTGTTGAGGCATTATATCAAGCCCAACCAGGTGGACTGGGACGAAAAGCTCGCACTTGTCGCCAGTCTGTACAATAACGCTGTACACAGCGCTACAGGGGTGAGTCCTAACAGTCTACAACTAACGTTTAAGCCTAGACTGCCCTTAGACTTCCTACTTTCTGACAACCAGCCAACTGCCGCACCAGGCACTCTAGAGTTTGCCTACCGATATGAACAGAAGATGCAGGAGGCTGTAGAGCACATGCAGAAGGCGCAGGCAGCAATGATAGAATCTGAGAATAAACACCGCCGCCCTTCTACATTTCAGGTTGGGGACAGAGTCTGGGTCAAGTCTTCAGAACTGGGACAGGAGTTCGGGATATCCCGCAAACTCATGCCTCAGTACTTTGGACCTTGGGAAGTTTTAGACGTAGTTGGGACAGACCCTGATGGTCCATCATATGTCATCTGTATCCCTGGTCATCTCAGAACTTACCCAGTCTTTCACGCCTCTAAGCTCGCTGCGTTCGAGGAAACTGATCAGTTTCCCCCTCGTCGATCAATGCTGCCCCCAACCATGGACGGAGAAGTCGACATCGATGATATCGTTGACCACAGGGAGATGCCTGTTCAGAAGCCTCCAGGAAGGGAACGTCCTCCAAAGCCAAAGCTGCAGTTTCGTGTCCACTTCAGACATCACACAGATCCGAAGGAGGACCGCTGGTTTACTCGGGAGGAATTGATGCAGACCGCTCAAGTCGTTGCCCGCTATGAGAAGGATGTATTGAAAGGAAAGCGCCAGATGGCTCAGGATTGATCTTCTCAGAGGACTAACGAAGATATGGAGGAGGGAATGCGAGGCTACGCCCGCTCAGCCCCTTCAGGGCCCTTTTTGCAGTATGTCGGCCGCCCTAAGTGAAGGCAGGCGCGACAGGCCCTCAGGGCCTCAATTTTCAGGGTACCCCGCAACTGGTGAAATTCAGACAGTTGCGCTGCGCCAGTTGGTTGAAGGCGCCCAGGCCCAGGCCATATTTTGCAAATGTATCTGAATGGTGACCTGGGCCAGACGCGTGAAAAAGGCCGTGAGCAGGCCAAGGGCAGTTGGGCACATGCAACCATCAGGCCCTGGGCCTGCGTGTGAGGTCTGGGCCTGTGCCTACCGGGGCCTACCGGAAGCTTCCTGGACTGGACGCAGGCAGGCGACTTCGATAAAGGGAAGGGCCTGCCTCCTCATTCGGCATTCGGGTGCTGGCTGCATGCTGCGCGAGCGCTGCGCTATTTGCTGGCTGGCTGGCACTCACGCTCTCACAGGCGAGCAAGAAGTAGCGGGCAGCCATAGCCGAGCTGCTCCGCTGTGAGCTGGGTGTGACGCAGCGTGGTCCTTGGGTGCAAGTGGCATCTGTGTGGTGTGGATCGAGGTTGTGAGTGTTGCGAGAGACATACCTGGTGCTGGAAGCGTGCGGCATTGTCCGCTGTATGCTCGTACTTCAGGGAGCTGTTGTTGTCAACATCGGCATTGTAGTATTAGGCTAGATAGGATCTGCCACAAGTAGTCTGGGCGCCGAGCGCCAATAGGATATCAACTCTTGTTCTTCATTGATGATGATGAGAGACTATTTCAGCATTGTCAATTACGAACTATTGGTGTGTTCTGATTTGGTGAATCTCGTGATGCATGACTGCTGTTGGTTCAAGGTCAAGACTATCTGGACACATATGTATGATGCTGTTTGGTTGCTGGAGTTCGCTAATGCTCATCTTCCTTGCACTTGCATCACAACAGATGGAAACTAGTAGCGAGAAGATGAGATAGGGAAAAAAAAAAAAAAAAAAAACTGGGTCCAGCATCCCTCACAATCTTGAGACACCCCCAAAGCGCAGGATCTCTGGCAGGATTAATGCCCTTAATTTTGTTTTCTTCTTTTCAGTCCAGCATTGTTGTCCAGGTTCTAGTTTTTTTTTTTTTTAATGATGGTTTCACAATTATTAATAGATCCACGAGGATTCGAACGGAGCACTGTCAGTATAGAGCAATTCATGAATATAGACTGTTATAAAGGGATAAGGGTAGAAGGGAAGTTATCGAAAGTTGAAAATTTCCTTCTTCAAGCTTGTTAAGCTCCAGTGTCCAAATCACTGAAATCAAATGAAATCCCTCCCTTCGCCAGGGATCGAACCCACAACCTGCTTCATTAAAGTCAGATTTCATACCCTTTCCTTCTTCACACGCCGCCAGAGTCGTCTATAGGATCGGGACCGGGACCGTTGAAATGTCGCCAGAGTTGGAATTAAAAAAGGCCTCTCTACAGACACCGACCGGTAGGCTTATGCCTGGAAAATAGCCAGGCCTATTGAAAATAGCCAGCGATGGAAAACAGGCAGTCCTTGAGAACAGCCATGCCTGGAAAATACCCAGGCTTGGGAAATATCGAAGCTTAAAAATAGCCAAGCCTGGATAATAGCCAGGCATGGCAAATAGCCAGACCTGGAAAATAGCCCAGCTTGGAGAATAGCCAAGCCTGGCTCCTCGTAGAGCCTTGGGCAAGGCGTGGCAAGCAATTTGCGAGAATGTCCATGATCGTTTCTGTTTTCTGAAAAATATACCCTTGCCCTTGTTTGGCTCTCCTCTAGGGCGAGGCCCCACTTAATGTGGATTCTTTGTGTCCAACCGTAGATTGCGATGGTTTCGTATCCAACCATCGATTGGGATGAACAACGGTCCGAATCGCAGATATCTAGAAAAGGCCCTTTTATTTTATAGGTGTTTTTCACTTGTCTTTTCTCAGATACATTCCAAACTGAATCTGTATAAGGGACGCTCGACCCGTTTTCCAGCTGGTGATGCTCCCCACCAATAGATGGAGCCTCCCCCCTGGAATGCTAGTGGTGTCTGCTCTTACCAGTACCACTAACACTGAAGGGGGCGTTTTCAAAAAAAAAAAAAAAAAAAAAAAAAAAAAAAACTATCATAATAGTGATTTACTTGCTCTCAACCTTTCGTAAAACAACTGTAAATTTTAAAAACAGTTAAAAACACAAAATGTTAATAAAATTACTTTTGTTTTTATACATGACCATTTGGGTACTTCTCATTGTCTTATCTTTCTCATTCCTTTTATCAATGCCAAGTTTGTTGTCCTCTTCTCCCTCTCTGAACTTTATCAGATTCTTCGCCAGAGGTGGCTGTGTCTTCTCTGGCCTCTATCTCAGTGTGTCTATCCTGAGCGCTTTGTGTCTTCTCTGGCCTCCATCTCAGTGCGTGAGCAATGGAACGGAATCGTCTGCCTATCTGACGTCTGGGTCAGGGAGACTTCTGCCCAGACGTATGTGTTTACCATCAGAAATTTCTCCAAGTCGTAGCAAAAAGGATACGCCCTTCACGCCCCCCCCCCCCCCCCCCCCCCCCCCCCC